GTAAATTATACTTTTTCAATTAACAAATACTCCAAATGACCAGACAAACATTATTTCTCCTCAATTCACTGGGGTCTCCAACCCCTCAAATTCAATACAAAACAACGTATCGTGACACACTTCACTAATTAAATACAAAATAATTAAATTAATTAATTCAAATTCTAAAATAATTAAATTTAAAAAAAATAAATGAACAAGTATTATTATAAATAAAATTATAATTCAACCGATCTAATATAATTAACCTAATTAATTAATTAATTAAACATAAATCAAATTAACTTAATTAATTCTAATTCTAATCAAATGAAATTTAAAATTAAAATTAAATTAAATTAACAAACTATTCACATTGATTGAAAAATTTATCCTAAACCAAATAATTAAATAAATTTAACATAATTAATTAATTAACTAAACATAATTCAAATTAACTTAATTAACTCAAATTCTAATCAAATTAAATTTAAAATAATAATTAAATTAATTTACTAACAATAATTTTATATTTAATTAATAAAATTACAAGTAAGTGAAAAATTTATTCCAATCCAACCAATGAAACAAATTTAACATAATAAATCAATTAATTAACTAAACATAATTCAAATTAACTTAATTAATTCCAATTCTAACAAACTTAAATTTAAAATAAAAATTAACTTAACTTAATTAAAAATAATTTCACATTTAATTAATAAAATTACAATTAATTAAAACTTTTATTCTAATCCAGCCAATTAAACAAATTTAACATGATTAATTAATTAACTAATTAAACATAATTAAAATTAACTTACTTAATTTTAATTATAACCAAATTAAATAAAATAAAATAATAATAATTTTATATGTAATTAAAAAAAATATAATTAATTAAAACATTTATTCTAATCCAAATAATTAAACAAAATTAATTAATTTACAAAACATAACTCAAATCAACTTAATTAATTCTAATTCTAATCAAATTAAAATCAAAATAACAATTAAATTAACTTAATTAACAAATATTTTACATTTAATTAACTAAAAAATAATAAATTAAACTTAATTAATTATAAATTAAACTTAATTAATTATAAATAACTTTAAATTACATTTAATTAACAACTTAACCTAATAATTAAAAAAATTCAATAATTCAACAAATTAATTAAAAAATTAACAAAAATTATCACATATTTAACAAAAAAAATTAACAACTAACAATTAAATATATACACAATTATAAATCAATCAATTATAATTAAAATTAACATAACAATTACAACAAAATACTAACATTAATTAAGAAAATAAAGGAGATAAAAAATTAACCTAATTTTGGTGAAATTGATCAAAATGAAGAAAGCAAACACTAGATTTTTTTAGAGAAACGGGTTTGAAGAGGTTGTGGATTGATAAGGAGTGGATTAGGAGAGTTTTGTGGAGGATTAGAGAGGTTGGGGGAGGGGCGGCGGCCTTGGGGAGAAAAAGGGAGGAGGAGAAACGGGGGAAATAATAAGGGAGGGGAATCGCCGGATTCAACGAAGAGAATGAACTCGTCGCTAAATAACGACAGAGATTAGTGTCCATCGCTAAATAGCCACATTTGGCACACTTTTGAATTTCCAAAGGCTACTTAAATTTTCAACATTTAGAGACGAAAATATTCCCATCGATAAATAACGATCATTTCGCGACAGATTAGCCATCGCTAAATGCCAAAAAAATTAGCGACGGTATTAACAACCTATCACTATTTTTTATAGCTAATCCATAGCTAAAAGTCTTAATTAATTTTTTATGCCATATTTAGCGACCGAAATTGATTAGTCGCCGATAATTAATCGTAAATCTATCTCTATTTCATCGTTAAATGTAGCAAAAGCTAATCGATAATATTTAATCACTAATTAGTGATGGTTTACATTTCGTTGCTAAAAGCCGTTACTATTTAGCAAATTTTTTGTAGTGAAACACCATTTAGGACTTCAAATATCAAGAGACAGGATGCACATCTATGGCAATGAAAGTGGCAATCAAACTAGAAACGATCTAGCACCCTACTAGATTACAACTTACAAACTATAGCCCATTGTGTTTTAAGTGTTTGAACCGAAAGATAAATTTGATAATTTGCAAAAATTGTATTGTATTTGTTGCTTGTTGATTGTGTGTTTTTTCTTGTGACTACAACTAATATTTATAATCCTCCAAATCTTCTATATTGAACATGTTCTTGAATTACAATAACTTCCTTCCTTGGGCACCAATACTCTATATTTGTCTCACTACAAAAAAAGAGCCACTTAGCGATGGATTATTCCGTCACTAATCGCTCTAAACCCGTCGTTAATTGTCATTAGAAACGGATCGGCGATGGATGACTCGTCCGTCGGTATTTTGCTTGTCGCTAATTTTTAGTGAGAGAAAAATCCATTCCGTCGCTAAATTAGCAATGGAATTTTCATTACTAATCCATCGTCGTTTTCATCATAGAATCGTTGTGGTTTCCATCGCTAATCCATCACTATTCCATCGCTATATTTTCAAAAAAATAATTTTTTTTCATTTTATTTTGGCTTTTTTAATTATTAATATTGTATTTAATAATTAATATTGGATGTAGTAGTTAAAAATTAAAAGTAATAACATATAGATTGAAAATAAATTAATTTTAACAATAACATTCGGTAGTACGTTCGATAAAATAAAACAAAGTCACTAAATACTTGTTCTATCACTCATCTTATTCGTTTAATCTCATATCCTCCTTCTAGTACTACGTGGAGGGCTCGATAAGGAGGATCGGGTGGAGGCCGAACGAGGAGGCTATGTGGAAGGAACAATAGATTGCTAACCGGTCGACGGATCTATAGGTAACCAATAAGTTAAAAATTTCTTAAGAAATAATCAACAAAATTCAACTAAAGTATGTACAAAATTATATAATTTAAAAATTAACTTAAAAAAATAACAAACAAAATTCACCTAATAATTAACATAGTTAATTAATTAGCTAATTAATAAATTTAAAATAACAACTAAAGATTAAATAGTTTAATTTTAACCTAAAAATTAATTAATTAACAATAAATCAACCTTAACTAAATTGCTTAAAAATTACATTAATAAAATTAAACCTAAAAAATTAACATAATTAAAAAATTTTAGGTTCAAATTAACATAAAAATTAACCTAAAAATTAATAAAATTTAAAAATACCACTTAACAAAATTAATCTAACAATTAAGAAAATTAAATAAACAATTAACAAATTTACACTAATAATTAACAAATAAATTAACATAATTAAAAATTAACATAATAATAAAATTAACAACATTGAAACAATCAATCAACTAACAAATAACAAAATTAACCTAAAAGTTTATAACATTCATTTAATTTAAAAAAAAAAAGTTAGAGAGAGAAAGTTTTACCAAAGAGATCAAGGAAAGAGATCAAAGATTTCGTCGATTTTGATAGAGAAAGATGCACCTAACCGAGTTGAATGGTTTAGAGAGTCACTTGGTGACGAGGGGCGGTGTGGGTGGTGGTTTTCCGGCCGACGGTGGATTTTGGGTAGAGGATAGAGGGGATCGAATAGGAAAAAATAAGAGAAATTGAGTATTTATAGGCTCGGACATTAGCAACATAAGCAATTCCGTCGCTAATTAGCTACGGAATCGTAAATCCGTCGCTAATTTGAATCGTTTGGGTGGGAAAATTTTCACCTAAAATTTTAAAATAACGACGGATTTTTTTGAATCATTTGGGTGGAAAAATTTCCACCTAAAATTTCAAAATAGCTATTTTGAATGTAAAATTAGCGATAGATTTCACAATCCGTCACTAATTTGCGATTTTGGTGACAAAATTCCCATCAAAATCGCAAAAAATAACGACAGATTTGAAAATCCGTCGCTATTTTTGGTTTCAAATTAGCAACGAATCACTATTCCATCACTAATTTGAACCCCGAAAGGCAACCTTTTATCTTTTATTTAGCAATGGAATAAATCCGTTGTTATTTACCGATCGACGGCGATGGATCTTATTCCGTAGCTAAATTAGTGACGAAAATCCATCGCTAAACATGACGCTTTTTTTATCGCGTAATTTTACGACGAAATTAATTCCGTCGTTGAGTTTTCCTCGTTATTCGATTACTAATCCGTTGCAAAAATCACCTTTCTTCCCGTATGTCGCTAATCCGTTGTTAATTTGTCTCTAATTAGAGACAGAATGGTATCCGTCATTAAAAGTCTTTGCTAATTATTAATTTCTTCGATTGCAATATTGCTCTATATTTGCCTTGGGCTGTAATGCTCGGCTTTGCTTGTCTTTGGTATTCTCACTCGTTTATTACAACATATCACGTCCCTATTGTTTTTTTTTTTCCAATTACTCAATTTTTTTAACCTTCCCTTGCACATAGAGGATTTGGATTCCCACTTTCTTTCCTCACGATGTCATTCCGTTAAAAGTTATTCTAGGTATTTTTGTCTTTTAAGTGTAAAATTTTTTAGGCATTTTCTTTGTGTGGGCTGGTCTGGATTTTATCTAATAGATTAAGATATGCGCACATTGATAGCTTTCATAAATTTATAACTGAAGCTTCATTGAGCTCATGGCCAATTCAATTGGATTGTTAGGCTCTAATTAAATTTGAGTATAACAGCAACCTATATCTTCTAGTTTGAACAAAGGTAAGAGAAAACTCCTAATCAATCACGGACAACTAAGATTCTGATGCAGATGAAGCTCCTCTCATAATTCGTCATTGTCCTGCTTTCAAGAAGACAAAGAAGACCTCTTCTTCTCCCATCAGTGGCCACGTCCTTTTACAGTCTATCCCTGCTCCTCTACCTTTCCTTTCGAAGGTGTTAATATCATTTCTGTACTCGTTTTCTTTCTTTTTACGTAGTCGTGACACTTTCAAGTGGTTGTAGGGGGTAGACCCTCAGTAGGAGTACGTGTTGCCCTTAGAGAATCTCTAGGATTCAAACATGCCTTCTGGAGGTTTGGCTCACAAAGGTGGAGAGTTTCCAAATCATCCTCTTGTTCCAATCACTTTGATCGTTCCTGCTTCAATATTAGCTGTCAATATCGAGAAAGAGACATCATTGGCTCTTGTCTCTATCACCCTTACGAGTGGAGAGAGTGCACATGAGGAAAGTACAATGATTGATTCTGAAGAAATGAGTGAGGATCCATAAGGTGATTCCATTCTAGTTGTGACTGCAGAGATTGATCATGATATCAGAACATGAAACTGGAATCAGATATCCTCTAATGGGTGAACAAGACTCCTCACCTAATATTTGACTTGGCTAAAGAATTTGGATTTTAGGTATAGTAAATGGATGCATAAAAAACCCTTCCCTTCCCAACCCATCAGCATTTCTACATTTAGGCCAAACAAATGCATACTAATTATTTTTCCGTTATCTACCTTGGTTCAATTACAAGTTTCTTTTTATTTATTTAGTGTTGGTGTAGTGTGTATTGAAAAAGAAAAAAAAAAGGAAATGAAGTCTATCCCATATTAAAAAGAAACTTAATTTTTCTTATAAAGTGCTTATAATTAAGGATGGTTTTAATTATGCAAATTGCACTATATTAATTAAATGAGTGCTATAGAGGAAATTCCTCTTGATGGACTATTTGGTGAGTCTCTTGATATACAGCACTAGTATAATATGAATATTTATTTATAATATCAAAAAATTGACGCTTGACAAAAGTGGTGGAACTTCCTAGGGAGCTAAAGTTGCCAATAAAAAGAATTAACTTTTTAACGTTCGAAATTAATTTATTGACTTTGTTTTTTTAATTTTTTTTTAAATTGATTTTTTGGCAGATATAATTGTTGAAATTAAACTGAATAATAATTATTTAGTTTAGTTGAAAAACTTAACTTTTTTATTAAATGTTATATAGTTTTATTATATTGTTTCAAGTCTACAAAAAATAGACCTTTTGCTATATACACATAAATTAATATACATACATCATCAAACGTATTTTTTCCTTCTGTCTTTTATATATATAGAGAGAGAGAGAGTTTAGAGGTGTAAAAGCTTATAATTGTACTCTAGAAATGTTGTATCTGTGTGGGAGAAATTAATAAATACTTTAGAAACATTATTTCTTGCGCCTCTAAACCAATTAATTATTTTTTTTATCTCTTTATTTTCATACCAAATTAATCAAAACATTTATAAGTGTTGAAATATTGCGAATTCCTTTTTGCCTTGAAATTATCACAACATGATTTTGGATTGACCTAATATTGGTCACGCATGCTAGGTCATATTAATCTTAGAGTTGACGAGGGTCCATTTTGTTTTTCTTCTTTAAAATAGGTATATTAATGTTTATCTATATTGAGAATACACGCAATGTTCTTACTTAAGCCCAGTTTGTCAACAAAAATGGTGTTGGTTAATCAACATCTCACCTTTCCTTCTCTCTTAATTAAGTCATTCCATCCACCTACATTCAAGACAATGGTGGATCCCCTTATCCCTCTCAACAACCACCGTACTCGAATACATTGCTTTTTTTACGCCCCATAAATTAAACGTGCCGAATCTTAGTTGGCATAAATTAATATATCCATGCAAATACATTTGTATAATTGATGGGATCCCTCGATGTTAAACTTATAACGTTTTATATATTTGTTTGTGTATACACTCCCAAGTCCCAATCTTCCATTGCCTTCGCACAACCGAACTTTCAAACTAGCTAGGGCAACTTTTTCTATAATAGCTCTATTAATTTGTAGTTTTCATTAGAGATTAAGATTTGAACGAGACAGATTTCAAGAATAGAGAGGTACTACTACCTTCTATTATATGATTCAAAAACCTTCTGTATATGAGCAAGTATGTATGGTCCAAGTTTATACGTTTATATCTATATATATAGCTGGCCAAATTAAACTACAGCCTTTTCCCTAATTCAAGAGTTAATTGCTAATTAGTGACGTGACAAGATATTCTTTAAGTATTATAAAATTTTTTGATATAAGACGCGCTTTAATCATTTGTTCCCAATGAATGAGCTTGGCAGATAGAGAGAGAGAGGGAGTGAGAGCGAGCAAAAGCTTGGGTGATATATATATAAAGAAAGAAAGAAAACAAAGGCCTTCATTATAATCACTAGAGTGGTCTCTATCTATATATCCTGAGTCGTCTGTGTCTTGTGTGGATTTTGAAGCAGAATAGTTGTCTGCTGGGTGATCATTAATTATGGGCAGGAAATGTTCACATTGTGGGAACTTAGGACATAATTCAAGGACTTGCCCCCCAACTCAGAAAGAAAGTTTAAGGCTGTTTGGTGTGCAATTGGACATACCAGCTTCTTCATCTTCTCCTGCCATGAAGAAGAGTTTTAGTGTGGGTTGCTTGCCATCTTCATCAACTACACCACCTTCTTCAACATCATCGAATTCAGCGCGGGTTAACATAGGTGAAAATTTTGATCTCCTCTCTAACGGGTATCTCTCTGATGGCCAAGTAGGACGTACCCCAGAAAGGAAGAAGGGTGAGTTCAACTAATTTTTGTACTAATTTATTTGTCACTCACCCTCACACATCTATTTTACATGTAATTTTACTATCTTTTTGTACGCAGATTGAATCAATCGTCTATATATAGTACTTATGATGGTTAACAAATGGGAAAGAAAAAAAAACTGCTAATTACAAATTTAAAACTTTCATAAACTTTTTGGTCCGTTTTATGTATATTGTCTTGATGGATGTTGATGAGGTTGCTTTTTGATGGTGTGTGATGTCAATAATTGTTGGTGGTTTATATATGGTTAGGTGTGCCATGGACTGAAGAAGAGCACCGGAATTTTCTGCTAGGGCTGGAAAAGCTCGGCAAGGGTGACTGGAGGGGTATCTCTAGAAGCTTTGTGACCACAAGAACTCCAACCCAAGTAGCCAGTCATGCACAAAAATATTTTCTTAGACAAAACAGTCTTAACAAAAGAAAACGACTACGCCCGAGTCTCTTCGACGTAATTATTATTTATGTCACCATTTCTGATCTGCTTGATTTTGTCACTACCTATTAATTAGGAATCAGTATCTCAATTTTCTTTAATTTAATTAAGCTCTTTCTAATTTGGTTTCCTTGTTTTGTCAGGTTGGGAATGGTAACTCAATCAAACCGGTTAATGCAAGCATTTCTGAGGTAACTGAAAGCAAAAATATCTTTGGAGGGTTACTGTTGATGAACACAGTAGCTTCTCCAATTTCTACTGGGTTTTCTGAGCTAGGTTTAAGTCGTCATTCAGTATTGCTTCCATGTTTAAGTCCTGAACAAGTCAGCTCTAAACCTTCTAGTAGTACTTGTGCTTCCAACAAAGCCTAATTAGTAGGAAGGAAACGCTTGCAGCCGCAACGCCATGCTAGTTTCCCCCTTCTTTTACATTATTATCAATATAGTTACTACTCTTTGATACCCCAAATTTATTTATTTTATTGTCAATTCGTCGTGGAAAATAGTAGATTGGTCTTTATTTTCTATTTTCTTTAATTTAAAATTAACTTCGCTGGCTAACTTTACAATATTATCATTTTATGGTATAGGGGTTTCTTGAATGAAAGAAGAAACTCAAGCCTTGGCATGGTTAAAAGTGGAGTTCATAAAAAACCTCCTAGACTTTTCAAGCTAAAAGGATCGAGCCGTTTAAGCTCCACGTTTGGGGTTAAGGTTGATGAGGATCATGGATTGTGAAAACCATGACACTAAGAGGCAAACATGGAAGGATACATAATGGTTGTTAGCAAGCTAGTTTAGTTAATAAAAAATGATGTTGCCTTGTATCATCATCAAGTAACTCTGATTATAAAAAATTCCTCTCACGCCTGAAACATGAAAGGAACATAAGAAATTAACAAATTAAGGTTTACCTTTCAATTTGTTGCGTATGACTCTAGTTCTAATGGGCCTTCGAGTGAGTCGTAAGAAATTAAAAATATTACAAGTAAGAAGGCATATCCTTGAGAATCAAACAACCAATCTGATTTTCCTGAACGTTAATGCCCTAATGCTATTGTTATTATTATTATTATTATGCTAAGTATAATTTATGCAGCTGACGTTTCTTTAGCTCTACTACTTCTCTCATCTCTTTCCAATTTATTGCGTGATTGATGCATCTATCATCTCTCCAAGCTGGAGTTGAGCACAGGCCTTCTTCTAAAACAACCTTGGCCCAAAGCGGTTCTTTTCCCAGCTCATGTTGATCTGTAGGCCTACAGATTTGGAATTCTTCTCCACCACCACCAGGGATTAAACAGCTTCTTTTAGAGGATAAAATGGGGAATGCATTTGTTCACAGCTAGTCTCTTGTTTCGTTACACCCAAAAAAGAAGAAGAAGAAGAAGAAGAAATTGATCCCATTTCGTTTATAACAGCAATTAACGTTGTCCGTGAAACGTACAGCACCATACCACAAACAATAGCAGTTGCACAGCTGACAGCCCATGACTTCGTTTTCAAGACTCTTAAAGGCCTAGCCTAGACCAACATCTACACGATAACTTTTGCTTAGTCCAACAACAAATACAACTTAGATGAAGAAGGAATCAGCTCATGTTCAGCTAGGCCTTTGCCTATCTGCCAAAGGATCTTGTTTAATGAGGCCCAATGGCCAATGCCCACCATTGAAATACGTGGTCAGCCAGTAAATCTTTCCGATAAAATACACATTCATTCAGCGGTTTTATTATACCAATAATCACCAGATTCACCACTCAGCACCAAACATACATATAGTCTTTTTCTGAACATTATAGAAATTTTCATTTTATGGCTTAGCCTTTTATATAGGATTTTTGCGGATCATAAGCACTAAAAGCCATAATGCAACCACCTCTTTCATTTGTTTATTTATTTATTGTGCTTAAACCATGGACTATCTATGAACTGATTCCTAGGTACTCAACAAAAGAAGAGGGGAAAGGTTTCATCCAGCTCAGGTGGTGTTTTATTTCTCCTTTGCCAGCCCTAAAGACAACACATTTATCCATGTAAGTAGAATGGTGACAAAACCTTCCCGATTCTTATTGGTTGGAGCAAAGGTAGTATCATAACTCCAAGACTTGTGTCTCTTTTTTCTAAAGTAACCATGCAAAAGGTTCCTCCAATAGTCATGTCGGAGATAAGAGAGGACAGACAACAAAGCGATCCAGTCCAATTAGAGGTTGTTTCCCTCTCTCTCTTTCTGCGCTGCTGCCCACAAACGACCTTAGCATTTTGGTGATCTTCCTCCTCTTAATTTGTTATTTTTGATAAAGACACCAAAGCCCTATGGGTTCTAATTAATCGGGAAATTAATTAACTTTTTGTAGTGTGATGGTGAATCCTTCCAAATGTACAAGAAGCAAAAAACTAAGAAAAGGAGATGGCTATTTCTTTTTGAAGTTTAAGATTAATTCAATAGGCCCCATATAATTTAAACTATTGATTAATTTTTTGTATTGCCTTCCAACTATCATATAATCAACATAATCTTTTTTTTTCTTTTTTTTTATGTATTAACTATTTCAACTTGCAGCCTTTTCTAATTTCAATGACTTGGTGGGAATTTAATGATTAGTATATTTTCCGTATAAACCAAACTGATCCCATATGGAATTGCTTGGATGGCCTCGTATATGGTTGACTTACATGTGCATGTATATATATATTCAGGAACATCAACCAATATCTTTGCTTTGACATACAGTCTCTAAACAATGCACCGAATTTATGATCTCATTCACCCAAAAAGGAGAGAAGAAAAGAAGAAAAAGGAAAAAGAAAATGCTTCTCATTTGAATTCAAAGTCCTATCAGCAAGAATTTAGCATACAACAACCATCCATGCAGAGCTGTACCATACCTGTTTCCAGTCGTGCGTCACGATTTGTTTGAATACAAAGTTCCGGGTAAACATGGCAATGTTTTTCTTCCTTTCATTACTAAATTCATGCAACTTGTACATGAAATTCATAGAAAAGGAAACTAATAATAGGCAAATTCAGTTTGTTCTTTATGCTAAAGGCATGCATATATATCTTGTTGTTCATTTCATCATATAGGCCACAATTAATTGTGTTTACTTAATTGTCTAAAAGAAATAAAGACAAGAGATTACATGCATGCATGTATATAAGTGTGTGCCAGCCAGGTAGCTTTCCTGTTAATGATGTCTGGTGAAGATGAATCTCACCCAAAAATTCAAAATTGGATGAACTGAGTAATTTACTATGCAGTTTAAGAGCTAATGGACTTCTCAATAAACCAAAGAAAATAACAAATTACATCTGCAATATTGTCCGTACGAAGAAAATTATTACAATGGTAATAGGAATATAATATAGAGCTGACTAACATATAATAATTTGATGTTGATGTTCATGTTCTTGTTCAACTCTCGATATGTAATATGGGTTACTGTGTGGAGAAATATTAATTAAGAACTAATTAGTTAATTTAGTCTAGAAATAACTCGGGTGTCATTTACAATGACCTAAATCGTTTATTCTAAAATAAAAAAGACTTGATTTTTTATTTTTTTTCAATTCAAAGGTTAGAGATATAAATTTATACGTAAATTATGATTAAATATATTTTGCAATAATTTTAAAAAATTTAGTTTTTATATCAATCGAGTAAATTCAACTTAAGAAAGTAATTTGTATGTACACAATGTGGGCAATACCTAAGGATTCTTCTCATGAATAAATTAATAGCAAAAAATATATATGGCACAGAATTTAGCAAATAAATCTGTGATGGGGTAAACAAGAAATTAATTATCATAATAATTAATGTGAGTTGGGGAGGAATCCTGCAAAGTAGAGTTGTAGATCACGCGGCAGTTTGTTAGACTTCTCACATGATCCACGAATCTCCAGCTTGCCTTTTCAACGATGGCGACAACTCCCTTCGTTTACCCCTCGTCTTCCTTTTTTCCCCCATTTTTACTCTTCTCTCCTCCCCCTTTCTTCCATTTTCATCTGTGTCCCTTTCTTAATTCTCAACAATTAGCATTTCTAATAATGATGTACTAATTAATCAACAAAAAGTATTTGGTTTCTCGGTTTGAGGCTTGTTTCAGAATATTAATTGTAGGTTTTTTAATAGAGGAAGGGTTGGTCAAAGTTTGATTCTATGGAAGACATGTCAAACAAAGGAATAAAGAAAACAAAAAACCCACCCTTTCACAAAGCACCATCGATCTTGCTTCTTATTTAACTAATACCTTGTTAAATGTTAAAAAATCTACTGATCCATCTTCGAGCATTGTCCTTCTGTCGTGTTCCCTAAAGATAAGCACGATAGTGCAAGTGAACTGATACAATCAACATTGTTATCATCCTAACTTACAGACACTTTCCTGATATAGTTATGTTTGGACCGCCCCTTAATTCTCTTATTTTAGCAGTAATCACATTTTTAATGTAAGGACAAACGCATGGTCCTGACAAGTTTGTCAAGCCAAGGACACATCTGTCAAAAAACACAAAAGAAATTAAACCCAGCTCTTTCATATATATATATATATACGTGTGTGTATCTATTTGTCATATTATTTATACCCCCAACCATCCATGTATCTGTTCGCATTATTTGCTGTGCCTTGCCTCTCTTCTTCCTTCTTCTTTAGCTATATATCTTCATTTCTTCTTCTTGCATGCTAATTTTTTGTTCAGACCAAAGGCCTAACTAGCTAGTTTTTCCCACATGGAGGCTAATCAATCCCCACCGCCACCAGCAGGCCTAACCCAAGAAGAATATATGGAGCTCAAACCCTTGATTGACACATACCACAAATTTGAGGCAGCACCCAACACATGCACATCCCTAATAACCCAACGCATTGATGCACCAGCAGATGTTGTGTGGCCTTTTGTTCGTAGGTTTGATAACCCACAAAAGTACAAGCACTTCATCAAGAGTTGCAACATGAGTGCCGGTGACGGTGGTGTAGGCAGCGTCAGAGAGGTTACAGTTGTTTCTGGGCTGCCAGCTTCTACAAGCACTGAAAGGCTAGAGATTTTGGATGATGAGAATCATATATTAAGCTTTAGGGTTGTTGGAGGTGAACATAGGCTAAATAATTATAAGTCTGTTACATCGGTCAATGAGTTTAACAAGGAAGGCAAGGTTTACACTGTTGTTTTGGAGTCATATATTGTGGACATACCAGAGGGCAATACAGTTGGAGATACAAAGATGTTTGTGGATACTGTTGTGAAGTTGAATCTTCAAAAGCTAGCAGTGGTAGCAATTGCATCTTTGCATGGACATGGATGATTCTAATGGATCAGATTATTGGCTTTTATGACGATGAATACGATGGTGGTGGCGACGGTGATGATAATGGTAAGATTCTCCCATTTGAAATCTTAGTGATCAGTTGAAGATTTTGCAAGTTGGGTTTTCTTTCTTTTTTTGCTCCTCTTATCAGTTAGGCAGTTGGTATTGGTTTGTATATTTTAGTTTTTTAGAGAAGTTCAGTTGTATTGTTAGGAGCCATTGTTTAAAATGTTATCATTTTATAATAAGTTAACAAAAGTTCACAACAATGACGAAAGCTCATCTGTTTTTTCCTTTTCTTTTAAAATTTCCTTTTATTAGCTAACTAAAGCAATCTTGCTAGCTAGTGTTGAATAATTGACGGCAGAAAATTAGAACTAATGCAAATTGTACGTATTTTAATTTGTAGTATCTTGTATATGCACACTTTTTTCTTTGAAGTGGTAAGACAAATAGGACTTCCAATTATAAACATATTCTGCCTCCATGTTTTCCAATGATTAATTAGTTGATTAAGACTATAATTTGATATTGTTACTATGGTAGATTTAATCTCAATTAATATTAAAAAAAAAAAAAAAAAAACTGATTCTAAATATTTTATTACATCTAAATAAAAAAATAAATAAATAAAAAGCGGATGACCTCTCTTATCTCCTACTGTATATGCTAATTATAATAGAAGTGCACGCATTAAATTTCTTGTTAGATTTCGTGTACTCTAATACAAAAGCAAAGTTGAACTTGTTTTTAAGAGAAATGGCTGACGTAATTGGTGCCTTTGTCAATTATATATATATATATATATATATAGAGAGAGAGAGAGAGAGAGTCTTAATTTGTGTTTGTAAGTTTATAAAAATAGAATTTGATATTTGGGTTTGAATTTGAATTTCATTTAAAAGATTTAAGTCGATGATTCATAATTTTATTTTTTATTTTTTTATTTATTGAATGTGAAATTGATGTTTCTAATACTCTTTTTCATTTATAGTCGTCTATTATTTTGAGATATATTTAATGGTTTGAGATTACGGGATTATTAATTAAGTCTTTTTGATGTTTGCATATCATATTAAATTAGATAATTGAGTTTGAATTTTATTTAAAAGACTTAAATCTTTTATAGATAATTCATTTTATAATTTTATATTACTTCATATTCTTGTATTTATTCAACGTAATGATATATGTTCACTGATATTGTTTCTAATTGCAATCTATTTTTTAAGGTATGTCAAGTCATTTAGGCATCAAAAATTTTGTTCGGCTATTAGGCTTCAAGGTTTTAATATCGTGCTAAAAAAATCATCTAAACTAAAAAGTTTATACCGCTAGAAAAAGCCTTATAATATATTTATATTATTTTTTAACACACACTTTCAAGTGAAAATCATTAGGATTTGAAATTTACACAAATCTACAACTACTTTGTGTTAAAATTTAATTTAATTAGAAAAAATAAAGATGATGAGACTCAAATTCATGATTCTTTGGTTATCAAAACTTTTTTTATCATGTTAAATTAGATAGTTAAAATTGGATTTGAGAAACTTAAATTTTTTTATAGGTGGCCGATTCAACATTTTTTTATATTTTTATATTATTCATTATGAGATATATTCACTAAAAATCCATATTTTGAGGTTTGTCAAGTGAATCAAGTTTTATATCAAGTGGTTTAGTTTTCAAGATCCTTATTAGTATTGTTGGATGTTTTTTAAACTCTAATACAATATTAAATTAAAGATAATTGAATTTATATTACATCCAAAAAACTTAAACTTCACAGTAAATATTTATTTTTTATGTTTTATATTATTTTATATTTTTGTATGTGTTCAATATAGAATATGTTTATTAACAATAGTAATTAGTTGATTTTTTATATTATTTTATATTTATATATTTATTCAATATGAATTATGTTTACTAACAATAGTAATTAGTTGATAGGGTGAAATAGATAGCTTTTCGTGTGGTTTCAATGTCAACACAACGGCAAGGACAAAGATAAAATAAAAATTTATGTAGAGACTTGCATGTGATCATGAGCAACATTATAGGACATGTGACCTAGAAGCCTCATCTATATTTCTCTTTAATTAGTTCATCAATCTATCTCTACCACTTATTTTCAACCTTTTTTTGGTGAAAAAGTATCAAAGAAACAGCAATTTTTGTTTGTCTCCAACTGCATTAAACACAACGTGTAGCTCTTTCCTCCATGTTATCACCCAAGTTGACTGCAAAACTTACGTATTTAATTAAAAATCGCTCTGATGCACGTTTTCTTTACTTTTTTAGAAGCTTTGTTCTACTGCTTTCTACCGCAGGCCCTTCATTTATTATTATTATTATTTTTTTAGGACAAAACAATAACACTTAAGCGCATGCATTTTTTGTGATATATCTTATCCGTGCATATATACTAATTAAATTAATGGCTCACATAACTTCTTTTTGTATCAGTGTAAAAGTACTACATATTAATCCTTAGGTATAGATTCGAAATAAAAAAGCAGCAATCAAAATAAAAATTAAAAAATCGAAATTCTTATATTGTGTTTAAAATATTAATAAGAAATCAAAATTAAATTTAACTTTTTTAATATTACATAATTAAAGATAATGAAAAAAAATGATTTTGTCAAACTATAATGGTTATAAAAATAATAAAGACGATGACAAGGGTTGTTGTAGTGATAATTGTTGTGGTGATTGTTGTAATGGTGGTGGTAGTGATTGTGATTATGATTGTGATTGTGATCATGGTTGTAGTTGTGATTGTATTAGAAATAGGTAATGCATAATAAATAAATAAAATATATTATTATTTTAAAAAAAATTATTTTAATTTTTTATTTTAATTTTTATTTTTTAAATGAAAATAAAGTTGTGTGTAATTTTTATTTTCATTCTCACTCTTTGCTTTCGTTTTCATTTCATTTCTTTCAATCAAACAAGTAATAGATAGACTTTTATTCTCATTCTTTATTCTTGATAACTAAGTAGCACCTTAATGCCAAATTTCTATACAATTCAAACGTGCATAACTTGTGAGTAACTGATGAATTTATTATTTTTCAACAGTTGGTATACGCAGCTACGAAAATTGGCGTGCGTTTTTTTAATTAATAATAATAAAAACACTTTCTTTGCCAGGAAGAACCGGAATTTCTATTTATGGGCTTTGAGGGATGGTAATTGGGTTAGCAAATTGGCAGACCTGCTGGTTCATGGGCCTTTTGAACTGGACCCTCTATAATGTGATTCATATTTTCATTTTTTCTATTCTCCAAAATCTGAAAAGAAAAGAATAAGCGAAATAAAATAATTCTTCTCTGACAAATACGAGGCGGTCAAATTTTCCAAGACAGCACATTGCTGGGCCAGTGGTAGTATAGATTTTATGTATAAAAGCTAATTGAAAAGTTAGCACCAAGACACCCCTAACAGTTGAACCACAAAAAAACTAAAAGTCAATTGAACAATTACAGAGCATGGTAGGCCTTCCTTCAAAAGATCGTAGAGATAATTTAACCGCTGCCTAAAGTAGAGCTTGACCCAGTAATCGGACCAGGTCTCGTTGGTCGAGTTGAGTTTTGACGGGGAGCATTTTCTTAATACACCGCAACAAGAACGGTTTATAATATCTAAGAGCTTTTAGCTTAATAATACCGTAATAATAATGGTATGTTACAATAAGAGATCGTGGGTTTAAATTTTAATAAATTAATTCTGTTAGAAATTTTAGTTGTGTGAGTAAAAAAAAAAAAAATGGTTTATAATTTTTTGGGATCCTCTTATCCGGGTTGTTTTGGTTTGAAAAAAGAGATACTGCACTTCCTTATTATCATCTATTGATAAAATATTTAATGAGAAATCTTCAATAACGAAATTAATCATATCACGACTCACTAATTAATCATAAAATCAAATATAATTATAAAAAATATCAATACTTATCGCTATTCCATTTACTTTTTTAAAAAATAAATTATGCATTTTCTATAATACAAGTTGGTATTCCATTTTATTTATATAAAAGCAAAAACCATCCAAACAAAAGAATTCCAATCTGCTAACAAAATAATTCATGCACAATCCCCTCCCTTCCTCTAAATTACACGCAAAGGAGTGGATGTTGGTATAAAGAAGAGAGATAGGTTAGTAAAGTTTGTTTTGTTCGTCCACTTGCATGCCATAGGTTGAAAAATGGTAGATGAGGTCATTTAAAAATTTAGAGAAAGAACGAATGAGACCGTGGCCATCCTAACAGCCACTAAGAAACATTTAGGTGAAAATGATAGATGAATGTGTTGTCACAAAAGTATTTCTATGTGTGAGGTTCAGTCATCTGGTAAACAGATGACAATTTATATTATATTATGTGTGTACGTTTTTGTCATCTGGTATACCATAGACAACTTCAATAATGGTGAAATGAGAGGGGTTTAGGGCTTGTTTTGGACAAATCTCTCTTCAAGAGAATTTAGAATATAATAAATGTCATTCAATGGCTAAATTATATCCTAATCTAATTTTGAAGCAATCTTATTTGAATGTGATTCCAATAAGCTTATTTAACATGGATAAACACAACTTTTAGATAACTTCCATATAAAACATAAACTCAAAACAAGTAATGTCAATTAATTGTTTCGTCATTAAAATTAAGATTAATTATATTTTGATCCAACAATCAACTAATTTTTTTTTTCAAATTTAAATCTAGTCGGGATTTAGAGGAAGAAAATACAAATAAGTTCAAGTTCGAAAAGTAAATGGCCAATAAGTTATTAAGTACTCTCTAAAGACCACTAAGATTATTTTCTAAGAAAGTTCATATTTTGGTTATTCTTTTTATATTTTATCTTCTGAAGTAGTTATAATAATTTTGCCAATCTTTAATTTTTATAACTTGTAAATTAATTTATGACTGTAATCTTTTTTTTTTTTTTTTACTATACTATCGTTGCAAATTTGAAAAAAAAAATCGAATACAAATATGATTGTAGCGGTTAAAAATATAATTCTTTATATTTATAAATCTTATTTTTAATATGTATTTTAAACTATTCTTTAAGGATTATACGAAATTAATCTATCATTGCATGGTATCGACATCCTCTATTCTACAATATGCTTTGGAATATGAAAACTAAAATCACAATTATTCAATCTCAACTTTGAGTAGGAGGGTAAAAAGCAATTTATTATAGCTGTTAATGAGTTTTTTTTTTTTTTAATTGTGGAAATGGACATGAATGTAGCATATAGTTTAAAAATGTTATACTTACGATAGTCTCGTTAAATAAAAAATAACATCTTTTATATTTATAATTTTCATTTAATAAAATCTTAATAAGAAATTTTAATATGATTATAAAATAAACATAGTTATCAAACTATGTAAATTATTATAATATGTCATTTTTATTTTTTTTCTTGGTTCGTTTCTTAGATTTTTTTTATTTTTTATTTTGAGTTAAAAGACAATGTAACGTGAATACAATATTTACTGTCTATCTTTTATTTTATTTTATTTTTTCAAAAAGAAACTGTGAGTACGAGGAGTCTGATGCAAAGGGTCCAAGACTGCTAATATATATATATATATATATCAGTGGGGACTGTCGAAAGTGTCCCTACTTGAATATTGCCAGATGCTCATTTAAGAGAATCGTTTCTGTACATAAACAAATTTAAAATGAATTACTATAGCAAGATTTTTTTTTTCCCCAAAACAAGGGAATCTTTATTGTAAAATAAGTTTTACAATATTTATATAAATGTGGTTTATTGAGAAGAACTTAATGAATTTTTCTACAAGCTGATTTTAATAGTTAATCTAAAAAATTTATAAAAAAATAGAGTAAATTTCATTAACCATCCATCCAATCCTTGAAGTTTTACCATGGCAGGATTTGAAAAATATTAATTAAACATAAAAAATTAACTGTCAAGTCATCAAGTAATATAAAAAATTGTGTAAAACTTAGTTTTGATTGGCCAGTCAGTGTAAAAGGTGCAATTATATGAGTTGAGTTGGACGTAAGGATAGAGGGCGGAAAGAACAATGAGAGTAACAACAACATCACTGAAAGAACTAGGGATCTAACCAATGACCAAAGTTTCTTTTTCAGTTGCCAACCTTAGTTATACTCAAATTGTCAAAATAGTAAAAGATTGGCGATTGTATCATCACATCAGATCCTAAAAACAAACCCCCATCACTCTTTTACCACATGGATTTTGATGAATCTTGGGCTACTGAAGGCAGAACATCATATGATCCAACGAACATGCAAGAGTGGAAAAGATGAACACCTGATACCAGTGTTACATCATTATCATTATCATTACAGTACAGGTCTCCCCTTCCTGCCTCCCATGTCAATAGGTACATGGATAGATTGAGATAGAGATAGAGATAGAGATATGATGATAATGATCTACTACATGTACATTTCGCAGCAGCAGTCCAGTAGGGTATGGCCCATAGAAATCCAAAAACAAGCAAAGAGGTAGATAGGCCTTGTAATTGCTTCAATGAATATGTCAAAGATCTCCTCACTAGATTTTCTCATCATTTTTTGTTTTGCTTGCATCACCGTTTCTTGTAAAGTAAAAAGCCTGAAACGGTGTATTTTTTATTTTTATATATATATTTTTTCACATTTCATTATTACCGCACAGCACACTTGCCTTAAACCTTTAGTTTTTAAGATTCCAAAGAGAAAGTATGAGACTTACATTACATCATTAACTCTCCTTTCTCATCACATTAGCTTTGTCGTCTTAAAATAGTTAAAAGAGCGAAGGACTTTCTCTGAAAAATGTTGCTGAGAGGACCTGCCATGAACAGAAGTTGTAACAGAGAGAATCCAGATATTTTGATTGTGATGATTGCAGAGAAGCAGATAATGAGAGGTGGTGAGGATGACAAAGAGAGGGAAAGAATGGGCCCTCAAAAGCCTGCAAGAGAAATGAGTGGCACTGCACCAAAGAGTAATTTTGCTTCCCCCTCAATCCCTCTCTCTCTCTCTATCTCGTTCTTTTACTCTTGTGTGGCTCTTCTTTCTTTCTCTCTCTCCAGCTTCAGTCTTAATGAAGGGGTCCATTTCATGCAGCTCCCACTTCGCTGCAGTAGCTTTTTTGGCTTTTTTGGTACCCTCTTTCTTGCTTTTTAATGAGTTTTCTGAATTTTTTGTCCTTTTGTTTTCAACACCCATTTGTGTCCATGAGCTTTTAAATCTTATGGAGAAAAAGAGAGAAATCATGAATCTTGTTTGAGTCTGAAAATCTGAATCTCAGTTTCTTGGGTTTTGGGTTCTTGAAGAAAAAACTTACTTTTCTCATCATGCAAACAAATTAACCCACCTTTTTTTCCCTTTGTATGGACTTTTCTTTTTGGTGCTTGGAGAAGAGTGGGGTTAATGCATGAGTCCCTGTTGGCTTCTTTCTTTACCTTCTTTTTGTTAAAGAAGAAACAAAAGTTACCACTGTTTTTTGGCTTTTGATTATGCTCTTTAATGGAGAAAGAGAAACCAATGATTTCGTAGGAAGTTCGTGGCTTTTGATTATAGCTTTGTCTGGGGTTCTTTGAGGAGCCTACATATTGTGTCAACCATTGTAGTAGCAGGTCACTTCTTGTGAGTATATAAAAATTCTCATGTCTGATTTGGGAAATCCCATGAATCTGCATGAAAATTCTTAACTCTCACTGTTTTGCTGTCTACAACGTGTGCTGGACATCATTGTATCCACAGAAGCTGCAGGTTGGTCATTTTCTCATGCTTTCCTTCGTCTCTTCCTTTCTAGAATTCCAGCACTCTTGCTATATATGTGCATACATTGGTTCAAAACACAAATTTGAACAGTAAATTTTGCATTTCTTTGCACCTGATTTCAACTGTTTTAGCAAACTCGTGCAGAGTTCTTTAGGTCATTTCTTTTCCGTCCTTTTAGTGGATGCTATTTTGGTGTTCTAAATAGAGAAGGGTTGGGCTCCAGTTACATGGTCTGAGCATCCGTCTCCACTTTTTACCTTTACTCGAATAGGAGTGCTCAAGAGCTGGGGAAGCTTCAAGTACGCACGTCTTAAAATTCTCCTATAGCTAATAATTCACAATATCGGGAGATGTGTTGTTTACATAACATTCTTAGATTACACTGTTCTTCTCCTTTATATTGTTGATTTGGTCCATACTGGTCCCTCCTCCAACTGTAAAAATGTTGATCCATGCTCTCCTCTCTTGCATAGTTTCATAGGCATGAAAGTATTTCACTTGTATACAACTAAGCTAGACCCATTTGAGGATGTGGTGACTACTACTAAACAGGCCCGAAGTCATAGATATCTGAACGAAATTGTACATGCTGGTCTTCTTTCACCTGTTTTAATGGCTGATCATTACTTCATTCAAACTGTGTAGGTGTTCTTTTCTTTTTGTTTCTTTTTTCCTTTTTTTTCCATGAGAACAAACTAGTTGACGCCTGACGATAACTTGCTGTGCTTCAAGCATTATCATCACCTCGTAGAGTCAGTGCATGACAGATTGGAAGTTATCATTGAGGTACTTATATGCGTGAGTGAAGTGAATGTTCTCAGTTTAATTACATCGAAACTAAGTTGAAATAACATAGCATGCACCTATGCTGGAGAATATTTATGCGCCTTTGATCCCTATTGTTTTTGGTTCATTGGGAGGCCCAATGAACCTTGGGACGATACAATGGGGTAGCCCTCTTCATTATATTATCATAATTGAAGAAATTGCAGTTACGGATTCTAATATTGCTTCACTTAAGGAAGCTACGGATACACAACTTCTGTGCTAATCCTGCTTATGTGGGCATCCTTAATACTCTGGTATAGTTTCCATGAAGATAAAGAATGCAAAGAAACCTGCAATCTTACAGCCAGATATTGCTTGTGTTTCATCATCCTTTTCTTGCTGAATACATATGAATATTGTTTTTCCTCCTTTTATTGTGGTTCTATGGTTTACAATAAGTGCACTCTGACCTTTTCAATTCATTGAAATTTTCCAGTTGGATGTTACATGACATTAAAAATTAGAAACTTCAGAGATTGCCTGCAAGAACAGCATAAAATCAGCTACAGAAAGCAGATTGGTGTTCTGTTGTTCATGATCTTCAGCAATAAGAGTTCCCCACAAGCGAACTGCTGCTTTGCAAGTGAAAGTGGCCTAATATACAAGTGAAGCATAAGAACTTAAGATGATTTTCAAGCTATTTCTGCCTCTTGCCATGTGATTTAATTGACACACGATATCATGGAGAATGGTTTGTTTAGTGTTCCAATAGATGTGGCAGGAAGGAATTCTGTTGCCACCGATCGATCATCACAGAGAACCCCAAACTCACTGGTCCAGTTTGATTCATTCAACCTTAACAACCATAGTCAGACATTGGCTGGATTTACCATGCTTCCGACATTGCAAGGAGAACCTATAAATGACGTCAATGCAAACATTCAAATGGCCAGTCGATCTTCAGTTATGGACTCAGATGCATTAGTTACCTCTCTTGGAAGGAATGTTGTGGGAGATACTTTTCCTGGCTGTTCACGTTCTATTGGTATCACTCCATTTGAAGAGCAATTTGGGGGTGGAACAACCATTTCTAGTTCTGCACTTGCTACACTTTTCGCCACAAGAAGTGGTCTTCAAGAAAATCTGAACAACTTGGCAATTTCAGGACCTTCAAGCTATCCATTGGAAGATTTAAGGCCGTTTGTTTCAAATGACGGCACCAATGCTTTGAATTCTTCATTTGCATCGTCTTTGAATTATGGATGTGGAGAAGTATTTGGTAATATGAATAGTAAGGAGGATTTTGACAGGTTTCCTCCTCCAATAGAGCTTGGTGGACGAGCTCCTATCAGAGCAGGATTTCAACCATATTCACCCATTGGAAACCTGCAATTGAATAGTTGGTTAACGCAAAATGGTGTGAATGTGAGTGCTGGTGACCCTTTTGCATCTGGTAAATCTACTAATGAGCTCTCTTTAAGTCTTGCCACATCCCAGCCTTCTGTCATAGATAGGAGAAGTATCCCAGATCAATGCTCGGAGATAAGTCATAATGATATACCACGTCATTGCTCGAAAGAAACAAGGTTAGGCACCGAACAAACTTCTTGTAGCAGTAAGGAGCTTTCTTTGAGTTGCAGTTCTTACAGAGCTGGTCAATTCTCACAAGTAATATCAGGATCCAGATATCTTCAGGTAATACAGGAAATACTTGCTCAAATTGCAAGCTATTCACTAGAGAATGTAGACCAGACAAGCTCTTCTACTGTTGGGTTCAAGACTGGAGCAAGCAGACCATTCTCTTCCATTAACCCTACCGAGGGAGGGATGTCGTCGATGGGTTCTGATGAATCTCCTGGTATGAATGGTAGATTTGAAGTTCAAATGGATCCAGCCTTGCAGAAGCGGGCGCTGGAAGCAAAGAGAACACAATTGCTAACTCTACTACAAGTGGTATGTCTGTTTAATTATTGGTACTAATTATGAAGTTGTAAAGTCTAGTCTAGTTATGAATCATGCCTCTGATTGAAATGAAGATAGTAACTCGTTGCTTTTTAATTATAATAGTTGGAATATACATGCCGGGCAAACAAGCTTTGGTGGATCAAAATTGAAATGAACATTGAAACAACTATTCAAAGATTGAAAATTTTAATGGCAATGCTGCAATTGAAAAAGTGCTGTAATTCAAGTCTTTTTCCGTTGGACATATTTACTATATAAATTGCTTGGATTGACTCATGTTATTATCCTATTACCACTTGCTTATCTGGTTAAAGCTAGCCTTCTCTTGTTACTTTGTCTGGGTTTGTTGGACATGGCATATTGGCAAGCTAATAAAGCACCTCCCACACTATTGTATGCCCAGGTTGATGAACGATATAGCCAATGCTTGGATGAAATACACACAGTTATATCAGCATTCCATGCTGCAACTGAGTTGGACCCACAGATTCACACTCGTTTTGCTCTCCAGACAATCTCTTTCTTGTACAAACGCCTTAGGGAGAGGATCAGCAACCAAATCCTAGCAATGGGAACTCATTTGGATGGTGGAGACACCATAGAGGCAGAGGGATCTTTTGAAACTTCCTACCTGCAAAAGCAATGGACTCTCCAGCAGCTGAAGAAAAAAGATAAACTATGGAGACCCCAGAGAGGCCTGCCAGAAAGATCTGTCTCAGTCCTGCGTGCATGGATGTTTCAGAACTTTCTTCACCCGTAAGCTCATTTCTCCTAATAAACCTTGTTAAGAGGTTGTTACTATCGGTAAAATGCATTAGCTAGGTTTGACAATCATGTGTTGAAAGTGAGTTGTTATACATTTGATGACTTCCAGGTACCCTAAAGATGCTGAGAAGCATTTGCTTGCAGTAAAAAGTGGACTAACAAGAAGCCAGGTACATAAAGATTTTACAGTTGGCTGGAATATTTCAAGAATTAGAAGAACATGCTGTTTACCTTCTTGTGTTTTGATCATTTGATGTTACTAAATTTAAATTTGTTCTATGATCTCATAATTTCCTATACTAAATTCGGAATCGAACAGGTATCCAATTGGTTCATAAATGCTCGAGTTCGTCTATGGAAACCGATGATAGAGGAAATGTATGCTGAGATGAACAGAAGAAAGGCTCAGCAAAACGAAGAGGGAATTAACAGCAATCACAGAGGTCCGATTAGCGTCAGCAATCCAAGATTTAATGTGATTTAGAGGGTTGGAAGTAAAAATAGACATGGTAATGGCATAAAGAACTACTCGTGAATTGCTATTATTTAATAGGTGAAAAAAGAAAACATCCACAAATGGATATAACTGTATATAAATGCTCCACAGAGTTTTGGGGGTAAACCCACTTATTTTTAGTATCTGTTCTCCATTAGCCATGGATGATCAAGTGGAATTATTTTGTATGCATTGAACATGCCATGCCCATCTTTCTTTTATTGCAGGCCAGATTATATGTAGTATTGTTCATTCATCTTGTGGCACCTCGAGACATATAAGCATGTAAAGAATCATTTTGCGTTTTCCTAACTAATTCCTTGCTTGTATTTTCATGAGGCAGCACTGTAAAAAAAACTTATTTTATACTACATAATCAAGAACCTGCAATACATCTACAGTAGCTGTACAGCACCAATATTTGTGTATAACTTGTGATTTGCTTTTAATCTCAAGCTGATTTTGTTGGCCTTAAAAATTGGCATTCTGGGTTTCACCCATCTGTCAGCGGCCTTAAATTCTTAACGGGATATGAGCATAGTATCTGAGCCAGTATCTGCTAACGGTTGTTTTACTTGGTAATTACTTCTTTTTTGTATCTTTTTCGCAAAAAAGGAATTAAGACTCATTTTTGTACCTATTAATAAATTCCAGTCATGAATCACTTTTGTGTTATTAATAAACCGAATATATTGCTTTTTAATAAAACAAATCCATTAGGAAGTTTTAGGTTTCAAACCCTAGGATTAGTTGGATTGGTATTGCGTGGCTAAAAATCCAACATGTTTCCCTTTTAACCTAAAAAGAAAAGGTGGAAAACTACCTTAATGTATCCGGGCAATTAATTCCCACCATTAAGGAAGTAAAGATGAAAGGATAGCCTTTAAACTGTATTAATTATTGAAAAAAAAAACAAAAACAGCTAGTGAACTAGTGTCCATTAGGAGTTCAACTCCAACGCAAACACAAACACACCAGTGCATATGCACCGTGCCTTTATTATAGTGCATGCTAAGCTGTCCGCAGTACCTTGAGACGTCGTCCCTATAAAAACCACTTTGCTACACAGCACCATCTATTGATAGATCAGAAACTGGGAGTTGGAGAAGTTGCAATGGCAAAAGTGGTGGTGGTTTTCGACTTCGACAAGACCATTATTGACTGTGATAGTGATAATTGGGTCGTGGAAGAGTTAGGTGTCCAACACTTGTTCACTCAGCTCCTTCCTACTTTGCCTTGGAACCATCTCATGGTTTGTTCTTAAATCTTTTACATTAGTTATCACACATTACATCAGTGATCATGTTAATATTGTATGTAATTGGCAAGCTCTTTTTGCAAACAGGGGTGATAACGCACTTGATTCTTTGATGGTATTATACTACTACATAGGAGAAAGATCTTCTGTTTGTTTTTTGCCAAGGAAAAAGGCATATATACATATGTTGTTGGTTTTTCTCTTGGCTCTAATTTTTTGTTGGTCCTGAAACATTATTTAGCGGCAATATCGAGCAGTTAGTTCTAAAATTCGTTGTTTTGTAAGTATCAGACCCACTGACATGCAGCTAGCTTTTTCAGGATAAGATGATGATGGAGCTCCACTCCCGTGGTAAGACAATTCAGGATATTGCAGAGTGCTTGAAGAAGGTCCCACTGGATCCCAGGATCATCTCAGCAATTAAATCAGCCCATGCTACTGGGTACTCTAACTCAACTGTTTTTTTTTTTTCTTTTTGTTTATTGTTTTTCTGTTTTGGTCCAGAGGAAGGCTAAAGTCAATGGGATTAAGCTAGTCATTCCTCAGTCCCTGAACTCCAATCCCACCCCTTCCAGGGTTTTGGTTTGAAACTGAAACTTCGCAACTGGAATTATAATATTCTAAATTGTTCAGGTGTGATTTAAGGATAGTGAGCGATTCAAATGACTACTTTATCGAGACAGTCTTGAAACATAATGGGCTGATGGATTGCTTCTCCGAGATCTACACAAACCCAAGCTATGTTGATGCAGAAGGAAGGCTTAGAATCTTAGAATACCATGATTTTAACAAGTCAACTTCTCATGGCTGCACTATCTGCCCTCCCAATATGTGCAAGGCAAGTTCATTAGCTCCCCCTCTAATGGCATTTTTGAATTTTACCCTACTAAAACAAATTCTAATTTTTGCTGTGCATGGGCGGACTCAAGCTTGAAATATAACTTTTTCAGGTTGATCACTGAATTTGGATAATGAAAACAACAAACAAATCTAGAATAAAGAAATTAGGATATTTGGCTTACCAAAAGCTACTTTCTCAATAGGGTCTGGTGATGAAAAGGATCCAAGCTTCTGTTTCGGCCGAGGGAGAAAGACAGTTCATCTATGTGGGTGATGGAACTCCTGACTACTGCGCAGCTTTGATGCTTAAAGAAATAGATGTGTTGATGCCAAGGAAGAATTTTCCACTCTGGGAGCTCATTTGCGACAATAAAATGCTTGTCAAGGCAAATATTCAGGAGTGGAGTGATTGGGAGGAGCTTGAGACTAAGTTGCTTAATTTAAGGAACGCAGTCTTTATTGAAGAGAAATGCAGCGTGAGACCAGATCAATTGGTTCCAACTGATTGTAAGTTTCAAATAAGTTCAATTTCTGCTCACAGAAACGTCCTCCCAGTTCCTCGGTAGGGGAGAAGAACTGTATCCTTGAGAGCAGAGTAAAATATAATGTTTCTGGTATGATCAACTATGGCAGCATTGCTTTGCATGTCATTGATAAGAAGCTAAAGGGATAACTTGCTCAGATTGTATAATTCATGTTGATGCCTGATTGTATAATTCTTAAAGAATGATTTGATAAGACTTCATATCGTTGTAATGGGAAATTGGGAATCATTTTCTTGTAAGTGAATTTGCTAATGACAAGTTTATCACGATTATTAAGTGACGTAGTGAAAGCTTACAAGAAGGAAATAAACACCATTGATCTAAAACTTCATACACGAATTTCAGACACCGATTTATTATAATATGTTGAATTACATGCAAATATCAAGAAATATGATTCAAATTTCATAAATTCAAGAATGTCGAAAGTTGGAATGAAATTGAGATACTTTCTCATAAAATTTTATTAATAAAAAAAAGCTGTATTTTTTATGTCTCCAAGTCATACGTGCATAGAAATTCAGCCAAAACCCTGAAACCAACTCAAAAGGAAAACACATACAAAAATTAAAAAAAAAATCTTAAAAAACAGAAAAAATCAATTCTGAGGGCTTAAATAATTTTTTTAGACAAAAATGACACCTACATCATAACGAAGCAATGAGCTTGACTCGTTGAATCGTTTGGTGTCAAACTAAATGGATTGATAGTTTTTTTCAGCTTCTACCGCACTCATATCACTCCATAACTCATATCACTCCATAAATTTTAGGGCTTGTTGGTCCACATCATCAAGGTGATTTCCTTGAAATTTGGAAAATGACTTAAAAACACACTTGAACCATACAATAGGGGGGACATGCACCCACAACCACCCCGTTGTATGTTATGAATTATAGTAGAGCCGCACCATCTTGGACGTTTCATTAAATCAACATAAAACATGGCCGGTCGGTCGTGATTTCATTTTCTATGCGAAAGTGCAATCAATCAGGATCTCCTCCCATCCATATGGTTCATAGAACAACTTCTTCGGCTTGGAGTTGGACACACAAGAATAATACATAAAGAATATCCTGCACTTCATTTGGCTACACTTAACCACTCATTATTCTTTAAGTGCCAACTCAATAACACAATACAAGAAACGATGACACTCCAGAGTGTAATTGGCTCGAGTTCGGAAGACTAAACACCCATTGGCGCTCAGGTCTTGTCTATGTTATGAAGCTAAAGGAATTACTCCATAAAATTCCAAAAAGGTTTCCATCACTTTATCGTTTTAGTTCATTCAATACAATCTGCAACGGGAAAGGGACATTCCACTTGCCACTGCATCAGCAAGCCTAAATTACAAAAAAAGTTTAGAGACCTTCCAAAAAAGGTTTGCATTCTTACCTTGTTAACAAAGACATAACTGAATTGACATGGAACCCAACATGAAGAAATATGTATACTTTAAAACCTGTGAAAACATAGGTTCAACGCCCAACCTTTATTGTCACTATCATTATTTGCTTGTCAATGTAAAAAAAAAAAAAAAATTATTTCAAGGATTTACAACTGAACCCTCCTCTCAACCTTAACTAAATTTTATGATTACAAATAAAAGAATGGCAACATCTGCTTTCTTTCTAAATATTTTCCCCTTGTGTCTTTCCTGTTTTCCTTCTATCTACAATCTTCTAGTAATCCTCCAACATTTATAATCCCAACCAATCAAAGAAATTACAAATTTCAATAAATAGATTACAAAAAGCATTCTCCCCAGCCATCCATAACCTTTCAAACTTCTAGGGACATTCGTGTTTTTATTGGTTTTAACTTCAAGCCCATGCTTTCTGGCGATAGAAGCTCCGGGGAGATGCAAATTGGACTCAAAGGACTTCTTGGACTAACACTTAACTTTGGCGGCCTGTACATACCGTATCCCACGAGAAAGTACTCCATTGGTATTAGCATGGCATGGGGCTGCTCCTCTGTCACCATTGACCCACAAGCCTGAACCTGTAGGGAATGGTTTCAGTAAATAAAACGTGCTTCCACATTTCCATGTATCACACAAACTAAATTTTAAAAATTCTGGAGTTAGACCTCTAATGCATAATACCTCAACTAAGGCACTATGTCTTCTGTCTAGTTTTGATGTCATGTCAAGAGCCTCAAAGTGAAACGGAGAGTTCTCGCCAACAAATATTAGCGAGCGACAAAGTAGTTTTCTCAATCCATCACTAACGTCTTGTCTCCTGCAAGAAACCAATGAATAACGAACTTAAGTTACATTACATAGCAAGAGCTTGGGATTCTTGCTGCAGAACATGCGCAACCTATACGGGCATGATGAACACAAAACAGTGCCCCATGCCATAAAAAACAACACTCGATAAACACAAAGGGCTTCTATCATTTACGCTTGTTAGATGGGTGCAAATGCAAGAAAAACTACAAGGAAAACAGGCATTACCCATTCATCGCTTCAAGAAATCGCCATACATTTAAACCCTGCCTCTCATCCAGCAACTGACAAAAGAAACACACAGGCCATCAAGTTAGGTAAGTATTGGTTCGCGACTGTAAATTATCAGTTCATCATGAGTTCTGGTTTTATAAGTGTTATCATAAAACGAATAAACAAATGGATAGGTAAGGCAGAGGACTAACTCTTCTGCAGGCCTGGACTACATCTGATTCTGGTACTTGAGCACTACCACGAACTTCCTGCAACAACATTGAGAATCAAATCATCCAACCAATCCAATTGTGGATAGACTTAATTTATAAACTAGAAGAAAAAGAATACCTTGCTGAAATACCGCTTAAGCAATAATTCCTTCACCACTCCACACATGCCATAATAGTACAGTAAATTAGACAAGACCTAAAAGCAATTTGAGATCACATGTAAGAATAAGCATGAGAATAAGATAACTTGACTGCCAGGAGATCATAAAAACGTTCAGGAAAGGAACCTTATTATACAGCCATTCTGTCCATGAGGGTGCATTGCACAGAGGAGAAATGAGTATCAAGCCAAGAACACGTTGTCTATATTTCATCTGTGGCCAATGTGAAATAACAAGACGAGTAAATCCCAGGTCAAAACAGAAATTAGAATCATTAAGAATCCAATCATGTGAACCATGCCAAGGAGGAAAGCATACAGCAAATAAAGTAAGAATGTAAGCTCCAGCTGTAACCCCCATACACATCACTGCATCAAGACTGAAAAGGGAAAAAAAAAACATGACAGAATGAAAAAAATCTATCAGATTCCTTCCCTTAAATGTTTCCCACTATAAACAAAATAAAGAAGCAACAATGTTCATGATATACAAAAGGAGATGGTTAAGGCCTTCTGTGCGTGCAGTGGTGGCAGGCCATCTAAATGTTAACCAGAATGAATTTGTAGCACAAATTTTTAATCAGCCAACACTTAGAAAAGAAAAATTTAAGTATGTGTAACAATATGTGCTTACCTAAAATAGTTGAGAACCTCAGCAATTTGGTCTGCCAAGTCATCAACAGAAAGCAAAGGGTCATCTGGGCTAATTGTAGCAGCTCCCAACTGCAATAACTCTTGAAGAAAGTGCCACATAAGAAACACAGGGAAAACATAGCATTCCACAGAACCAGAAATTAAAGCAGTATAGGCATACAAAACATGCAGAACCAAGACATCCAATCAGTGGTCAAGCTACAAACCTCATGCCCGGGAGGACTGATATGATATATACAAAAGTTGTGAAGGAGCAACGAACATGCTTCGGGACAAAAGAATAATCCTTGAAAACAAGACATATCTGCTTACAAGGTACAGAGAGAGAAGTTTAAGTTAGAGCATGGATGGTGCTCGGCAGTGTCTCCAAAAACAGAAAAGCTCAGTAAAATCTATGGTATCTTAGGAATCATGCACTGATAGAACTAGTAAAAATAATAAACCACCTCCATCTTCAATTCCTAATCCACAATGATTCAAGTTGCATCTGTGAGCCTAGGTGCAAATATTCTAATGAGACATGGACATATATCTCAATAAGTTCCCACATTACTGGACACTTGATCTTTTCTTCCACATAAATTTTTCAAGACCAAAATCTACTTAACTATATGTCAAATTCCTGCTATGAAAACTTGACTAGTTGACTGCTAAAAAAGCTATGCAAAGTCACATATTCATAAAAATCAAATATCTATTTTATCAGCAGGACAGATGAAAGAAATGAATCGGAAGGAAATATACAATTGCAGTTACTTACGATTTACAGCTAAATCAGGATAAGTAACAAGAGCTGGCTTGTCTTGGTCTCCATATACAGAAACAGAAACATAACCACAGCAAGTTTCAATAACATACTCCTGCAAACACGTTTCAAAATCAAATTTCACTCAACTAAATACTCAAAAGAAATCAACTCAAATAAACAAAAACCATTACCGTCATAATTACAGAGTCTACTAATTTGGTAAAATGATCAATACCTAAACCAACCAAAGCCCATTTTTAAACGCCTAGAGAGCATTCAAAAGGTAAACCTTCCATCAAAAAAGGACCACCACCTTTTACCTCTCCCTCACTCCACAAAAAGGGCATGTTGTAGGCCTGCCCAAGTTAAGTATATTCTACAAGCAGATAAAAACTTCCATGTGCAGCAGTTCTTTTTGACAAACCAACCTTAACTAATTTGCCTATTTGGCATGTAATCATTTCTCAATTAACCAAATGGAGATCTTCACATAACTAACCATATTTGCATTCCTTAAATACCATATAATTTATTAATTCAAGAATCAAACAGCAAAAAATTTCTTGATTGTTTACCAAAACCAGAACCAAAGAAACAAAAATGGAAATGGAAATAGAATCTTCAAGAATTAATTTCCACATTATTCAAAAGAAAACTAAAAAAAAACCTTGTCAGAATTCCTTTCCTTCTCCCACATTTCTCAGAAACCAAACAAAGTTTAAGGAAATCAAAAATGAAGAAAATAATATTTACCACAAAGAAAAGAAAAGAGAATCTGAAAATGTGAATGTACCTTTCCACTAAGAGAAGGCGTCTCCATATCAATGGAGACTGAGTCACTTGAATCTCCCATTTCTTGATATTTCCCTCTTTTTCTCTCTCTCTGTGGTTTTTTTAATTTTATTTTTTTCTTCCCCTTCTCTTCTTAATTTGAGGGTGCGGTGGCTTTGTCTTCCCTGCTTTTTATATCAATTATCTTTCTCTATCTCTCAATCATTTACTCATTTTCTCTTTCTTCCAAAAAAGAAATTAAAAGAGTTAACTCGAGAGCGAGTCACCGACGCTCGACAGAGAACTCACGAGAGGCCCGTATACCTTAGGTCTAACTTAAGCTCTGGTTAATTTTAACCTGAGTTAGAGACCGACAGTTTCTTAAATTACTATTTTGTCCCTTCTATTTCAATGGATATTGACTGCTGCTTAAAGGGATTTTTTTTTTTTTTTTTTTGGAGTTCTGTTATATACGGTTGATTTTGAGAAATAGGGTACAGAAGTGCTTGGGTAAATTTGTGGGGCATGGAAATCGTTTAATCAACGATGCTATCCCTTGATTTAGTTTCATTAATTACAGTGTTGTGTTAGTGATTTCTAATTTCTGAAAACCAAAAAAAAAGTCTTTAATAAGTATAATTATGATGGATGCTTTAGAGAAATGGTATCTAAGTCTTTGATACCATAAGAGAGTATTTGCTTTGTGAAAAATAGAAAATATTTTGTATAAAATAATTTCAAGAAATTTGATAAATATGATGGATGGTGTGTTGTAGTGATAAGGCGATGGTATTGTAACAGTGGTTGTGACGTGCGTAGAGGTGACAATGGTGGTGGGGTGATGCCAAAGAGGAGGTGATGGTGGTTGTGAAGTGATGGGATGGTAATAGTAATGACAATGGTGTTGGCAACAACTTTCATTGGTGATGAAAAAACAGTAATTAAATAGTTTAATGATATTGTGAGTTAATTGTTATCTAAAATTTCTCTGTTGAATGTAAACGGTTTTACTTTGACTATTTTTTTTTTTTTTTGGTAAAATATTTTATGCAAAAAAAATATAAAAAGGTAAAAAAAAATATTTTAACCAAAATAAACCCCTTTGGTTTGTTTTTTTCCTTTTCCCCTTCATATATATTTGAAGAAAATAAAGATCGATTTTGAAAATAAATCTAATATTTCTTCCTACGATTGCTACTAAATAGATTCTAGTTTAGTTTTTTTTTTTCTTAATGGTATTATGAAAGAGTAATTAATATATATGTATAGTAGTTACTCAATGATTTAAAAAAAAAGATAGATACATAAAAAAAAATCATATACAAATCCATTAAAAGTAATAAAAAGATTTCACGTTGGTTTAATTTTTTTTTAATTTTCTTTCTCTTGTTTTTGTTTATCTATATCTATAAAGTAAATTACACTAGTTGCTCCTTGAGTATTATAAAATTTCTCATATTAATTAAATAGTTTAATAATATTATGCATTGATTATTATCTATTATTTATAAGATATTTTAATAATTTTATAAACTGAAAATATTTTTCAACTAAAATTTATCCGTTGAATGTAAACTGTTTTACTTAGACTAGGTTTTTTTTTTTTTTTTGGTAAAATATTTTATGCAAAACAAATATAGAAAAGTTTAAACAAAAAATTGATGTCAAATCTTTTAAGCAAAATGAATACCCCTTGAGTATAGATTCTAGTTTTTTTTTTTTTTCCCTTAATGGTATTGTCTTGTAGTATTGTTTTCTGTTCTTTTCTCACAGTACTACACCCACATTGTTGCATTATAAACGTAGTGAAAATTGCCATAAAACAGAGAGTGAGATTTTGTGGGACTTCTGAGATGCAAAGTCGCTCTTTCGACCACAGGATTCTGTAGTTGAGACATCGTGTGGTTGGATTTAAGTAAAGTGGGGGCCAAAAAATTGCATGCAAAATTATTTGTGGAAGAACGTCGTTTTTCATTCGAGTTGGTATCTGTCATTGGCATTCACCAGACACTAAGCCACAACTCCCTCCAGCTGCTGCTTTCATGTCCTTTGTAAAAACGTTTTCCAGATAGAAATATAATTTAGGGTTTCAGCAAAAATTGCCATTTTAACTCACGCTGAAAGGAATTTTATTTAAAGCACCCTATTTTCATTTGCAGATATGAAGTCCCCATTTCATTCATTGTGATTTGTAAATTACTTGATTTTGACCCTTGAAACTTTTCCTTGAGCCATAGATTTTTTTTTTTTTTCCTTTTTTGGTCCCTTCGTTTTGGAATCTTCTTTTGCTGAAGTACTCCATCTGGCATATGGGCTTCATGAGTATACCTACTTTTCTTTTTTCTGCTTCCTTTCTTTTTTAATTAATCTGTTTTCTTTTTCTGTCTGCTTTTTTTTTTTTTGGGAGAATTATTAAAAAAAATTTAATTTTATTAATACGAAGAAAATGTATTGTCTTTTACCACCAACCAATAATCATGTCGTCGTTTTAGCTCAGTATAGGGACGGTTATTTGGCAGCATTCTTGACTTATGGTACACTCTTAGCCCTATTTTTGTGTATCTTTGACCAGGAACTAGAAATGTCACTATAAATCACATCATTAACCCACCAGCGACAAACATAATCAATGCTATTACTATAATTTCTTAAATTTCAGTCATTTTTGTAATCATTTTTTTTTATATATATTTGATGATGAAAAATATTTTCGAACCAATTTGCATTTCAATCAAAATTAATTTTCCTTTCAAAACGAATTAAAAGCCACATTCTTCATATTGTTACAATATATTTTTTTAAAAAATTAATAAATTTGACTGAATGTTAGCCTCAATATTTAAATTTTAAAAAGTAATAAAAAGAATAAATATTTTTAATTACCAAGCCAACCTTTTATTAATTTTTCAATAATAATTAGTTCTAGCTAGCATATTCTTATAAATTTATATCCATATGAGAAATGTTAAAATACTCAGAAAATAACTATCAATTCTTAGACCTACTTTGAGAAAAGAGACAGAAAAGAAAAAAACATTCAAATCCATCAAAAGTGATAAGAATATTAATTAAAAAAAATCTTAATTGCCCCTTAAATTTTTATATAAGTTTCAATTCTTTTCTCCATCTATTAAACTAACATTACTAATTATATGACATTTTTTATGTTTCAATTGACTTTCTAAAGTTTTTTAAAAAATCTTAATTAAATATGCATTTCTCAATCATATTAACTATCTTGTTTTTTTTTCAAATAGGATTATATTTTCTTTTTTAACTTATATTTTTCAAATTTATAAAATTTTAATGTGTATAAAAATATTAATAAAAATACACAAACTCAAACTATAAATCCCATATATTTTAATAAAATCATAATGATTTAATACTAAATTAACATAATTTCTTGATAAAAAAAATTGACATAGTTTTGTATCGTCCGTTTATATTCTTATTTAAAAGAACAAAAGATGCATTTTAATTGTGTAAAACATAAAGTTTAATATTATAAAATTAATAAGACCAATTACACCATGCATATTTTTGTTCAAATCATGATTGAAAATTCTGCATTAATCCTTTAAATCATGTTAAAATTCATACACTCAAACTTATAACTGATGATATGGCCTTTTATAATTGAAATAATACAACTCTTTATTTTTTTTCAAATTTTAATATGATTGAAAGATAAATATTTGATTGAATTTTTTTAATATTTTAGAAAGTCAATTCAAACATAAAAAAAATATCATATCATTAGTTATACTAGTTTAATATATAGAAAATAAGAATTGAAATTGTGATGAAAGTTTAAAAATGGTAATTGATCCAAATAAAATCGCAATAGAAAAATTGAAAATCCCTTAAACCTCAAGCAGACAAACTAAAATTTACCCAAAAAAAAATAAAATTCTCATAGCTTCTCGAGAGGTTTGATTTACATCCTTTTTTAATATTTAAATACAGAATTAATGGTTCAGCATGTCATTGACAAAAGGATATTTCTCTAATTTGTTATTATATTCTTTTAATTGAGCTAATTTTATTTTTGATTATATTTTAAATTTTTAATCTATCATTATTGTAAGATTTTTAGGCTAAATGATCAGAAGTGGTTATGTAATTTGACATAGAAGTCTATTATTTAATTTAGCTTGCAAGGGCAGTTTAAAAGTAAAAAATAATTATTATTATCAATCGGATGGTTTGACATAATTTATTTTTTAAAAAAAATTAGAAACTTGAAACATATTTAAAAATAAAATTAATTCAATTAAACATATAAATACATTAAAAATAATAGAAAACGGAAAAAGAAATTAAAGTGGCAAAATTAATGGTAGCTTGGTATATACGTGGAGGTAGTGAAATTAATTGGCTGCCCAAAATGTCAATGTTGCACGTTATGTCGATGTTTCTATTCCCGATCAGTCGTTTAGTTTTTGTGTACGTAATACATACACTTCATCTCTGGCCCTAAATTGAGGTGGAATTATAGGCCGTTGTAACTATAACTCACAGCACCGACAAGTCCCCTGTCTCAATTCAAATTGGAATCAGAACTGTTTGAGGACCATTTTTTAGAGTATTTGTAGGCTAACAATGTTCATATTCTGCTTCAAAAGCATTAGTGACATGATTCTAATTGCTAAATAAACCCAGTTCAAAAAAAAAAAAAAAAAAGTTGAAGAAACAGTACATGAAAATTCAACCCAAAGGAAAGGAAAGGAAGTAGCTTTCTTTTTCTCTAATTCTTCAATTGTTATCAATCATTATTTTTTCACTAACCAATTTGATCTAAAAGCCAAAATAACACCTGTCGGTGACATGATTTTAATTCTAAGAACAGAACAGCGTAGAAACTTTCACAAAAGACTAAGCTAAGCTTACGTGACATGTCCAGGTAATCGAAAAAAGGCAAAAAGGTTTGGTTCGGTGAGGCTTTTCATGATTGTTTCGGGCGCTCGTGTCTCTCACATTTGAAGTTATTACTATCACAAGGGTGGCTTACCATGTGGCACATGGCCTCTATTTTTTTAAAAAAAATATTTCCTTTGTTGTTGGTCAAGTAAAGGGTTC